GGACAGCAGCTTTGTTCAGGATCCTTTGAGTTCAGATTCTCTAAAACAAAACCAGTAAACTGTGCTGAGCTCAGCAGAGTCCAACTGGTTCCCAGTTTAACTGTTTAACAGCAGAAACTCTGAGCGTCCACTTTACTTAAAGCAAACAACACAAATAAAACCTCTGTCTGTCCTCCAACTGGGTCCCAGACTGATCCTGGACTGATGTGGACTGTCAGGTCTCTGTGTGTCTGCTGGACTCTTTCACTGAAACTGTGCACTGCACCAAACTCCATTCAAAATATCAGTGAAATAAGAGAACGGATGAAGAGTGAATCACTGCAGAGTTTAACTTACAGTTCGATCTAAATACTTGTCTTTATAAAGGTTTATCAAATAGAAAAAAACCTTTTAGTTTGGATATAAAACCAGTTTAGTCTCTGATTCTTCAGAATAAAACAGGGAGTAGAACAAAATACAAAATAAAAGTTGATGTTCAGCCAAATGAAACCTTGTTTTCAATTATTTTACTGTCACAGTATGTAGTACAGTGTGTGTACAGTGTGTAGTACAGTGTGTACAGTGTGTGTACAGTGTGTGTACAGTGCGTACAGTGTGTGTACAGTGCGTACAGTGTGTGTAGTACAGTGTGTACAGTGTGTGTACAGTGTGTGTACAGTGCGTAGTACAGTGTGTACGGTGTGTGTACAGTGTGTGTACGGTGTGTAGTACAGTGTCCACAGTGTGTAGTACAGTGTGTACAGTGTGTGTACAGTGTGTAGTACAGTGTCTACAGTGTGTAGTACAGTGTGTAGTACAGTGTGTACAATGTGTGTACAGTGCGTAGTACAGTGTGTACGGTGTGTGTACAGTGTGTACGGTGTGTGTACAGTGTGTAGTACAGTGTCTACAGTGTGTAGTACAGTGTGTAGTACAGTGTGTACAATGTGTGTACAGTGCGTAGTACAGTGTGTACAGTGTGTGTACAGTGGGTACAGTGTGTGTACAGTGGGTACAGTGTGTGTACGGTGTGTAGTACAGTGTCTACAGTGTGTAGTACAGTGTGTACAGTGTGTGTACAGTGTGTAGTACAGTGTCTACAGTGTGTAGTACAGTGTGTATAGTGTGTGTACAGTGCGTAGTACAGTGTGTACGGTGTGTGTACGGTGTGTGTACAGTATGTGTACAGTATGTGTACAGTGTGTAGTACAGTGTGTGTACAGTGTGTGTACAGTGTGTGTACAGTGTGTACAGTGTGTGTACAGTGTGTACAGTGTGTGTACAGTGTGTGTACAGTGTGTACAGTGAACTTTAACAGCAGTCAGATGTTTTTAATTAATTAACTAATTAAATAATTGAATTCTTCTGACAGACGATATTTTCACATTTAAACAACAATCTTCAGAATATTCATCTGTTTGTGGCAGTTTAACTATCAAATACACTCAATCGATTGAAACAAACTGATTGGAACATGATTGATCTGTTTACACTGTATGACCAAAAGTGGGCGGACACTGGCGTCCCACCGACATGAGGACGCCCTGTTCTACAACCTCAGCAATACAGCCAACACACGTCTGTGAGAGTTTGAGCCAAAAGAGCATTTGTGAGGTCGGACCAGAACTGTAGTCAGGACCTCCTTTTGTCAAGTCCAAGACCAGGACTAGTCCAAAGTTCAAGTTTGAGTCAAGACCGAGACAGAAAAGTGTTCTTTTCCCAATTAATAAACAGGCAAGGAGACTATCATTCCAGGCCTACCCCTTTACAACACATAAAGATAAATTCATCTATTTAGGTGTTAATGTAACAAGTAAATACAAACTTATTAAAAAATTATTAAATAAAGACTTATTTAATCATAACTTTAAAGTAGCATTGGATAAGGCAAAATTAGATATGGAAAGGTGGTCATCTCTCCCACTATCATTAGCAGGGAAGATAAATTCTGTTAAAATGACTGTAATGCCACGATTCCTGTATTTGTTCCAGACAATACCAATTTTCATTCCTAAATCGTTTTTTAAAGAACCGAATAAATGTACATCTACCTTTATCTGGAAAAAAACAGTCCCCCGGATAAGAAGAGAGTTCCTTGAGAGACAGAGGGAAGAGGGAGGCCTGGCCCTTCCAAATTATATGCACTATTATTGGGCGGCTAATATACATAAACTGTTATTTTGGGTCTCACAGTTAGATGATGATGAAACCCCAGTAAGGGTACATATGGAAAGATATGCATCTAGCCCAGTATCCCTACGCTCCCTGATCTGCGCTCCTCTGCCCTTAAGCAAGCATCTTTACACAAACAACCCTGTTGTACATGGCTCTATCAAAATCTGGGTTCAATTCAGAGCTCATTTTAAAAACAGAAACGCCCTCCTGTCTGCTCCCGTCTGTGGCAATCACTTGTTTTCCCCGGGCCCTTGGGGGAACAGCGTTTAGGGAATGGTATAGAGCTGGGGTGGAATGTGTTAAAAATCTTTTTAAAGATGATGTATTTATGTCTGCTGCTCAGCTGGAGAAGGAATATGGAATCCCCTTCAAGACTAACTACCTCAGATACTTTCAGATTCGAGATTTTGTGAAAAAAGACATTCTCCTCATCCCTTGAGTTGCCACGGAGTGGGTGGATAGATGGGCTATTGGACATGAACCCGACTCTTAAAGGGATGGTTTCTATGCTTTATGTGAATATCCAGAAGGTGGCTTCCCCATCCCTTGATTACATAAAGAAGAAATCGGATGTTGAATGGAGATGGGCAGTAGAATTAATACACTCTACTTCTGTATGTGTTAGGCATGGATTGATACAGTTTAAGGTGTTACACAGACTTCATTTCACGAGGGACAAACTGGCAAGGATCTACCAGGGAGCTGATCCGACTTGCCCTAGATGTAAACAGGTGCCAGCCAACACAAGCCACATGTTCTGGTCTTGTCCCAGGCTCAAAGAGTTTTGGACTAAAATTTTCAAAACCTTCCCATCCATTTATAACAAAAATATAGAGCCCGGTCCTCTGGCAGCCATTTTTGGTGTGGCACCGGGGGAAACACAACTAACGATTGCTCAAAGGAAAGCAATAGCATTCTCTTCATTGTTGGCCAGGAGATTGATAGATCTTATTTAACTGGATAAAGGCAGCACCGCCAACTCACAAACGATGGGTAGAGGAGGTGATGGCACACCTGAAATTTGAACATCTTAGATTTACTTTGCAGGGCAACACTAAGAGATACTCTAAGATCTGGCAGCCTTTTATTTCTTATTTTGAACATGAGTTTTCATCTGCTCCAACATAACTGGCAGCTTCTGTTCTTCTATTATTATTGTTGTCAATTTTGTCATTTTTATTTATCTATCTATGTTTAACCCGAGAGTGTCTGGACCACACAGGTGGTGGGTATGTCTGATATCTAGTAGTAGTAGGATCTGTCTTGTTACTGTTCTGTCTGTAGTTTAGACCTGTACCTGTGATGTATATTTTGTATCCTACTATTTTGTCTTGAATGGGATGTTTGATGTTCGAATATGAAAATCAATAAAAACACTTTGATTATTATAAGACCGAGACAGAAGAAACAGAAGCTTCTGCCAGCGAGACGAGTTTTGGCAGTAGCAATACGACTGGAAGTGACACTGGTAACCGTGGTAACCGATGCCCTCGAAGGATTTTAGATTGTGTTTCTTTCAGAACCAGCTTCATCAGTGGTTTTGTTTTGAAGGAAGACGTTACGTGACCATACTGCTGGACTCCAAGTCTAAGTGCAGATACCAACAAGTCCCAGACCGGACTCCAGCACCACCTTTAAAGTCACTGAGCTCTTTATGACCCTGTCTAGATTCTGAATGCGGGGCCTCAAACATTTCAATGATACCGTCTATAAATCCAGTTTGTGTCCTTGAGCCAGAGACCGTTATGAGACCTTGGTGTGTTAGCAGCAGCTGACTCCTCCATGTTAAACAAAGGAGGTTCAGTAGCAGCGAGCTAACAGCTAGCGGCTAACTCTCATGTGACAGTCAGGCTGCAGATAAACAGCAGCTCTGTGACACTCAGACATCCAGGATTTAGAGATCCCGGTCCACCAGCTCACATCAGGCTGCTGCTGAGGGACCTGGCAGAGTCCAGGCCCAGCAGAGACCAGGTCCAGCAGTCTAGTACTAGAGGCTATAATATGATTATCGGAAGGTTATTCGGGGTCCAGCCCCACCCTGCGTCCACAGTCCTCTTCCTTCATATTTTATTCAGTCTGAGACTTCCTGTCCATATTCTCAGATTAATGGGTTATTGATCAGCACACTGTGGCTCCACCCACATCACTGATGGGGCTCCTGACGATTGGAGTTACTGCCGCTCCTGAAAAACTGTGTACTGTCCCTTTAAGAGCTGAAACAAAGAATCTGCTCATATAACACCTGTCTCACTCTCTGTATGTCTGTCTGTCTGTCTGTCTCTCAGGGTGAGTGAAGCTCTCTGTCAGCAGGATCGACTGCAGCTCCTCTCAGTAAGTCCAATTTACATATTTACACGCTGTCAGTGAACACACCACCTCAGCATATGAACACATGTTCATACGTCTCGTATGAAGACGTGTTTCTGATCACAGACGTTTATCAGCCTCTGATAGCAGCACACATACCCTGTGAGCTGATCTGAGGTCTGTGTCACTAATGCACTTATTGATCCACACAGACACATTAATCTGCTTCCTGTGTGGCTGCAGGAAGACTCTGTGGGTCTGATGATCTGTACGATTCTTATAATGTTTGATTTCTGTACATTAAAGAGTCAGTTATAAGCAGGACAGCAGTTGAGATATTTAACCTTTATTGTGCAACAAGCTTGAATATACATATAATATTAATTAATATATATATTATTAATATATATTAATTCAATAATATACCCTCTCAATAATCCATCAGGACAAAATACCAGGAGACGACCTTTAACCTCTAATTTATTAAACAAAATATAAGTTCAACAGTAACAATGTGAATTCTGTCCAATCATTATAGTTTCCCCAAAGCGCTGAGTCATATGTCTCCAGACTCACTTCATTGTTTGGACCTGTGAAGATGCAGACATTGTTTGGACCTGTGAAGATGCAGACATTGGACCTGTGAAGGTGCAGACATTGTTTGGACCTGTGAAGATGCAGACATTGGACCTGTGAAGGTGCAGACATTGGACCTATGAAGATGCAGACATTGGACCTGTGAAGGTGCAGACATTGTTTGGACCTATGAAGGTGCAGACATTGGACCTGTGAAGGTGCAGACATTGTTTGGACCTGTGAAGATGCAGACATTGGACCTGTTAAGGTGCAGACATTGGACCTATGAAGATGCAGACATTGGAACTATGAAGGTTCAGACATTGGAACTGTGAAGGTGCAAACATTGGACCTGTGAAGGTGAAGACATTGTTTGGACCTGTGAAGATGCAGACATTGGACCTGTGAAGGTGCAGACATTGTTTGGACCTGTGAAGGTGCAGACATTGGACCTGTGAAGATGCAGACATTGGACCTGTGAAGGTGCAGACATTGGAACTGTGAAGGTGCAGACATTGGACCTGTGAAGGTGAAGACATTGTTTGGACCTGTGAAGATGCAGACATTGGACCTGTGAAGGTGCAGACACTGTTTGGACCTGTGAAGGTGCAGACATTGGACCTGTGAAGATGCAGACATTGGACCTATGAAGATGCAAACATTGGACCTATGAAGGTGTAGACATTGGACCTGTGAAGATGCAGACATTGGACCTGTGAAGGTGCAGACATTGTTTGGACCTGTGAAGGTGCAGACATTGGAACTGTGAAGGTGCAGACATTGGACCTGTGAAGGTGAAGACATTGTTTGGACCTGTGAAGGTGCAGACATTGGACCTGTGAAGATGCAGACATTGGACCTATGAAGGTGCAGACATTGGACCTGTGAAGGTGGAGACATTGGAACTGTGAAGGTGCAGACATTGGACCTGTGAAGATGCAGACATTGGACCTGTAAAGATGCAGACATTGGACCTATGAAGGTGCAGACATTGGACCTGTGAAGATGCAGACATTGGACCTGTGAAGATGCAGACATTGGACCTGTGAAGGTGCAGACATTGTTTGGACCTGTGAAGATGCAGACATTGGACCTATGAAGATGCAGACATTGTTTGGACCTGTGAAGGTGCAGACATTGTTTGGACCTGTGAAGATGCAGACATTGGACCTATGAAGGTGCAGACATTGGACCTGTGAAGATGCAGACATTGGACCTGTGAAGGTGCAGACATTGTTTGGACCTGTGAAGGTGCAGACATTGGAACTGTGAAGGTGCAGACATTGGACCTGTGAAGGTGCAGACATTGGAACTGTGAAGGTGCAGACATTGGACCTGTGAAGATGCAGACATTGGACCTATGAAGGTGCAGACATTGGACCTATGAAGGTGCAGACATTGGACCTGTGAAGGTGCAGACATTGTTTGGACCTGTGAAGGTGCAGACATTGTTTGGACCTGTGAAGATGCAGACATTGGACCTGTGAAGGTGCAGACATTGGACCTGTGAAGATGCAGACATTGGACCTATGAAGGTGCAGACATTGGACCTATGAAGGTGCAGACATTGGACCTGTGAAGGTGCAGACATTGTTTGGACCTGTGAAGGTGCAGACATTGTTTGGACCTGTGAAGGTGCAGACATTGTTTGGACCTGTGAAGATGCAGACATTGGACCTGTGAAGGTGCAGACATTGGACCTGTGAAGATGCAGACATTGGACCTATGAAGGTGAAGACATTGGACCTATGAAGGTGCAGACATTGGAACTGTGAAGGTGCAAACATTGGACCTGTGAAGGTGCAGACATTGTTTGGACCTGTGAAGGTGCAGACATTGGACCTGTGAAGGTGCAGACATTGGACCTGTGAAGATGCAGACATTGGACCTGTGAAGGTGCAGACATTGGACCTGTGAAGATGCAGACATCGGACCTATGAAGGTGCAGACATTGGAACTGTGAAGGTGCAGACATTGGACCTGTGAAGGTGCAGACATTGGAACTGTGAAGGTGCAGACATTGTTTGGACCTGTGAAGGTGCAGACATTGTTTGGACCTGTGAAGATGCAGACATTGGACCTGTGAAGGTGCAGACATTGGACATGTGAAGATGCAGACATTGGACCTATGAAGGTGCAGACATTGGACCTATGAAGGTGCAGACATTGGAACTGTGAAGGTGCAGACATTGGACCTGTGAAGGTGCAGACATTGTTTGGACCTGTGAAGGTGCAGACATTGGACCTGTGAAGGTGCAGACATTGGACCTGTGAAGGTGCAGACATTGTTTGGACTTGTGAAGATGCAGACATTGTTTGGACTTGTAGAGATGCAGACATTGGACCTGTAAAGATGCAGACATTGGACCTTTGAAGGTGCAGACATTGGACCTGTGAAGATGCAGACATTGATCCTCCCAACAGAAAGCTTTGATTTGTGATCAGTTATTCAGAAACAAGTTTATTATAACTAAAATCATCAGTTCAGTGTGTCTGACTCTGTTTCCCATCATGCCTCAGGAGAAGAGGAAGTGGCAGACTGAGATCGAGAACAAGAAGCGTCAGCTAGAGGACGACAAGCGAGCGCTGCAGCACCTGAAGGTGAGACAGGTTGATGGTTCCAGTCCCTGCTGGGAGAGTCTGTTCTTCTTCTGCTTCTTCTTTCTTTCTTTCTTTTGTGGTGTGGTGTTTTTTTTAACCCTGTTTCTAAATATGAGGCTGTAGTTGTTCCTCTATGGCCGTTGTTTGAGTCCTGTATTACTGTAATATAATATCCGTAGGTATGGATGTAGTCCAGAACATACAAACCCAACATTGGATCTAAATACGACCTTCAGAGTTTCTTGTTAACGGCAGTATGTTAACGGCAGCAGTATGTTAACGGCAGTATGTTAACGGCAGCAGTATGTTAACGGCAGTATGTTAACGGCAGCAGCAGCATGTTAACGGCAGTATGTTAACGGCAGCAGTATGTTAACGGCAGTATGTTAACGGCAGCAGCAGCATGTGTTAACGGCAGCAGCAGCATGTTAACGGCAGCAGCATGTTAACGGCAATATGGGAATATTAGTACAATATGGGAATATTAGTTCAGTATGGGAATTTTAGTACAATATGGGAATATTACTGCAATATGGGAATATTAGTACAATATGGGAATATTAGTTCAGTATGGGAATTTTAGTACAATATGGGAATATTACTGCAATATGGGAATATTAGTACAATATTGCAGAATATTACTGCAATATGGTAATATAAATGCAATATGGGAATATTACTGCAATATGGGAATATTACTGCAATATGGGAATATTACTGCAATATGGAATATTACTGAAATATGGGAATATTACTGCAATATGGGAATATTACTGCAAATATGGGAATAATACTGCAATATGGGAATATAAGTGCAATATGAGAATATCAGTACAATATGGGAATATTACTGCAATATGGGAATATTAGTAGAATATTGCAGAATATTACTGCAATATAGGTATATTAGTACAATATGGGAATATTACTGCAATATGGGAATACTAGTACAATATTGAAGAATATTAGTGCAATATGGGAATATTACTGCGATATGGGAATATCAGTACAATATGGGAATATTACTGCATTATGAGAATATTAGTACAATATAGGAATATTAGTGCAATATGGGAATATTAGTACAATATGGGAATATTACTGCAATATGGGAATATTACTGCAATATGGGAATATTAGTAGAATGTTGCAGAATATTACTGCAATATGGGAATATTAGTAGAATGTTGCAGAATATTACTGCAATATGGGAATATTAGTGCAATATGGGAATATTACTGCAATATGGGAATATTACTGCGATATGGGAATACTAGTACAATATTGCAGAATATTAGTGCAATATGGGAATATTACTGAGATATGGGAATACTAGTACAATATTGAAGAATATTACTGCAATATGGAATATTACTGCAATATGGAATATTACTGCAATATGGAATATTACTGCAATATGGGAATATTAGTAGAATATTGCAGAATATTACTGCAATATGGGAATATTAGTACAATATGAGAATATTAGTGCAATATGGGAATATTAGGGCAATATGGGAATATTAGCACAATATGGGAATATTAGTTCAATATGGGAATATTAGTACAATATGGGAATATTACTGCAATATGGGAATATTAGTTCAATATGGGAATATTAGTACAATAAGGGAATATTAGTGCAATATGGGAATATTAGTACAAATCAGGAATATTACTGCAATATGGGAATATAAGTACAATATGGGAATATTACTGCAATATGGGAATATTAGTAGAATATTGCAGAATATTACTGCAATATGGGAATATTAATACGATATGGGAATACTAGTACAATATTGCAGAATATTAGTGCAGTATGGGAATATTACTGAGATATGGGAATACTAGTACGATATTGCAGAATATTACTGCAATATGGGAATATTAGTAGAATATTGCAGAATATTACTGCAATATGGGAATATTAGTACAATATGGGAATATTACTGCAATATGGGAATATTAGTACAATATGGGAAAATTTGAGCAATATGGGAATATATGTACAATATGGGAATATTAGTGCAATATGGGAATATTAGTTCAATATGGCAATATTACTGCAATATGGGAATATTAGTGCAATATTGCAGAATATAAGTGCAATATGGGAATATTACTGCGATATGGGAATACTAGTACAATATTGCAGAATATTACTGCAATATGGAATATAATTGCAATATGGGGATATTACTACAATATGGGAATATTAGTAGAATATTGCAGAATATTACTGCAATATGGGAATATTAGTACAATATGGGAATATTAGTACAATATGGGAATATTACTGCAATATGGGAATATTAGTACAATATGGGAATATTACTGCAATATGGAAATATTAGTACAATATTGCAGAATATTACTGCAATATGGTAATATAAATGCAATATGGGAATATTACTGCAATATGGGAATATTACTGCAATATGGAATATTACTGAAATATGGGAATATTACTGCAATATGGGAATATTACTGCAATATGGAATATTACTGAAATATGGGAATAATACTGCAATATGGGAATATAAGTGCAATATGAGAATATCAGTACAATATGGGAATATTACTGCAATATGGGAATATTAGTAGAATATTGCAGAATATTACTGCAATATAGGTATATTAGTACAATATGGGAATATTACTGCAATATGGGAATACTAGTACAATATTGAAGAATATTAGTGCAATATGGGAATATTACTGCGATATGGGAATATCAGTACAATATGGGAATATTACTGCAATATGAGAATATTAGTACAATATAGGAATATTAGTGCAATATGGGAATATTAGTACAATATGGGAATATTACTGCAATATGGGAATATTACTGCAATATGGGAATATTAGTAGAATGTTGCAGAATATTACTGCAATATGGGAATATTAGTAGAATGTTGCAGAATATTACTGCAATATGGGAATATTAGTGCAATATGGGAATATTACTGCAATATGGGAATATTACTGCGATATGGGAATACTAGTACAATATTGCAGAATATTAGTGCAATATGGGAATATTACTGAGATATGGGAATACTAGTACAATATTGAAGAATATTACTGCAATATGGAATATTACTGCAATATGGGAATATTAGTAGAATATTGCAGAATATTACTGCAATATGGGAATATTAGTACAATATGAGAATATTAGTGCAATATGGGAATATTAGTGCAATATGGGAATATTAGGGCAATATGGGAATATTAGCGCAATATGGGAATATTAGCACAATATGGGAATATTAGTTCAATATGGGAATATTAGTACAATATGGGAATATTACTGCAATATGGGAATATTAGTTCAATATGGGAATATTAGTACAATAAGGGAATATTAGTGCAATATGGGAATATTAGTACAAATCAGGAATATTACTGCAATATGGGAATATAAGTACAATATGGGAATATTACTGCAATATGGGAATATTAGTAGAATATTGCAGAATATTACTGCAATATGGGAATATTACTGCGATATGGGAATACTAGTACAATATTGCAGAATATTAGTGCAGTATGGGAATATTACTGAGATATGGGAATACTAGTACGATATTGCAGAATATTACTGCAATATGGGAATATTAGTAGAATATTGCAGAATATTACTGCAATATGGGAATATTAGTACAATATGGGAATATTACTGCAATATGGCAATATTACTGCAATATGGGAATATTAGTGCAATATTGCAGAATATAAGTGCAATATGGGAATATTAGTGCAATATGGGAATATTAGTTCAATATGGCAATATTACTGCAATATGGGAATATTAGTGCAATATTGCAGAATATAAGTGCAATATGGGAATATTACTGCGATATGGGAATACTAGTACAATATTGCAGAATATTACTGCAATATGGAATATAATTGCAATATGGGGATATTACTACAATATGGGAATATTAGTAGAATATTGCAGAATATTACTGCAATATGGGAATATTAGTACAATATGGGAATATTAGTACAATATGGGAATATTACTGCAATATGGGAATATTAGTACAATATGGGAATATTACTGCAATATGGAAATATTAGTAGAATATTGCAGAATATTACTGCAATATGGGAATATTAGTGCAATATGGGAATATTAGTGCAATATGGGAATATTACTGCAATATGGGAATATTACTGCGATATGGGAATACTAGTACAATATTGCAGAATATTAGTGCAATATGGGAATATTAGTACAATATGGGAATATTACTGCAATATGGAAATATTAGTAGAATATTGCAGAATATTAGTGCAATATGGGAATATTACTGCAATATGGAATATTACTGCAATATGGGAATATTACTGCGATATGGGAATACTAGTACAATATTGAAGAATATTAGTGCAATATGGGAATATTACTGCGATATGGGAATATCAGTACAATATGGGAATATTACTGCAATATGAGAATATTAGTACAATATGGGAATATTAGTGCAATATGGGAATATTAGTACAATATGGGAATATTACTGCAATATGGGAATATTACTGCAATATGGGAATATTAGTAGAATGTTGCAGAATATTACTGCAATATGGGAATATTAGTAGAATGTTGCAGAATATTACTGCAATATGGGAATATTAGTGCAATATGGGAATATTACTGCAATATGGGAATATTACTCCGATATGGGAATACTAGTACAATATTGCAGAATATTAGTGCAATATGGGAATATTACTGAGATATGGGAATACTAGTACAATATTGAGAATATTACTGCAATATGGAATATTACTGCAATATGGAATATTACTGCAATATGGGAATATTAGTACAATATTGCAGAATATTACTGCAATATGGGAATATTAGTGCAATATAGGAAAATTACTGCAATATGGGAATATGAGTGCAATATGGGAATATTAGGGCAATATGGGAATATTAGCGCAATATGGGAATATTAGCACAATATGGGAATATTAGTTCAATATGGGAATATTAGTACAATATGGGAATATTACTGCAATATGGGAATATTAGCTCAATATGGGAATATTAGTACAATATGGGAATATTAGTGCAATATGGGAATATTAGTACAAATCAGGAATATTACTGCAATATGGGAATATTAGTACAATATGGGAATATTACTGCAATATGGGAATATTAGTAGAATATTGCAGAATATTACTGCAATATGGGAATATTACTGCGATATGGGAATACTAGTACAATATTGCAGAATATTAGTGCAGTATGGGAATATTACTGAGATATGGGAATACTAGTACGATATTGCAGAATATTACTGCAATATGGGAATATTAGTAGAATATTGCAGAATATTACTGCAATATGGGAATATTAGTACAATATGGGAATATTACTGCAATATGGGAATATGAGTACAATATGGGAACATTAGAGCAATATGGGAATATATGTACAATATGGGAATATTAGTGCAATATGGGAATATTAGTTCAATATGGCAATATTACTGCAATATGGGAATATTAGTGCAATATTGCAGAATATAAGTGCAATATGGGAATATTACTGCGATATGGGAATACTAGTACAATATTGCAGAATATTACTGCAATATGGAATATAATTGCAATATGGGGATATTACTACAATATGGGAATATTAGTAGAATATTGCAGAATATTACTGCAATATGGGAATATTAGTACAATATGGGAATATTAGTACAATATGGGAATATTACTGCAATATGGGAATATTAGTACAATATGGGAATATTACTGCAATATGGAAATATTAGTAGAATATTGCAGAATATTACTGCAATATGGGAATATTAGTGCAATATGGGAATATTACTGCAATATGGGAATATTACTGCGATATGGGAATACTAGTACAATATTGCAGAATATTAGTGCAATATGGGAATATTAGTACAATATGGGAATATTACTGCAATATGGAAATATTAGTAGAATATTGCAGAATATTAGTGCAATATGGGAATATTACTGCAATATGGGAATATTACTGCGATATGGGAATACTAGTACAATAAAGCAGATTTTTAGTGCAATATGGGAATGTTACAGCGATATGGGAATACTAGTACAATATTGCAGAATATTAGTGCAATATGGGAATATTACTGCGATATGGGAATACTAGTACACTATTGCAGAATATTAGTGCAATATGGAATATTACTGCAATATGGGAATATTAGTAGAATATTGCAGAATATTACTGCAATATGGCAATATTAGTACAATATGGGAATATTAGTGCAATATGGGAATATTAGTACAATATGAGAATATTACTGCAATATGGAATATTACTGCAATATGGGAATATTAGTACAATATTGCAGAATATTACTGCAATATGGGAATATTAGTGCAATATGGGAATATTAGTACAATATGGGAATATTAGTGCAATATGGAATATTACTGCAATATGGGAATATTACTGCAATATGGGAATATTAGTAGAATATTGCAGAATATGACTGCAATATGGGAATATTAGTGCAATATGGGAAAATTAGTACAATATGAGAATATTACTGCAATATGGAATATTACTGCAATATGGGAATATTAGTACAATATTGCAGAATATTACTGCAATATGGGAATATTAGTGCAATATAGGAAAATTACTGCAATATGGGAATATTAGTGCAATATGGAATATTACTGCAATATGGGAATATTACTGCAATATGGGAATATTAGCACAATATGGGAATATTGCAGTCAATATGGGAATATTGCAATATGGGAATATTAGTGCAATATGGGAAAATTATTGCAATATGGGAATATTACTGCAATATGGGAAAATTACTGCAATATGGGAATATTAGTGCAATATGGGAATATTACTGCAATATGGGAATACTAGTACAATATTGAAGAATATTAGTGCAATATCGGAATATTACTGCGATATGGGAATACTAGTACAATATTGCAGAATATTACTGCAATATGGAATATTACTGCAATATGGGAATATTAGTGCAATATGGGCATATCAGTACAATATGGGAATATTAGTAGAGTATTGCACAACATTAGTGCAATATGGGAATATTACTGCAATATGGGAATATTAGTAGAGTATTGCACAACATTAGTGCAATATGGGAATATTACTGCAATATGGAAATATTAGTGCAATATGGGAATATTAGCGCAATATGGGAATATTAGCACAATATGGGAATATTAGTAGAATATTGCAGAATATTAGTGCAATATGGGAATATTACTGCAATATGGGAATATTAGTAGAATATTGCACAATGTTAGTTCAATATGGGAATATTACTGCAATATGGGAATATTAGTAGAATATGGGAATATTACTGCAATATGGGAATATTTGGAAAATATTGCAGAATATTACTTCAATATGGGAATATTAGTACAATATGGGAATATTACTGCAATATGGGAATATTACTGCAATATGGAAATATTATTAGAATATTGCAGAATATTACTGCAATATGGGAATATTAGTGCAATATGGGAATATTACTGCGTTATGGGAATATTACTGCAATATGGAAATACTAGTACAATATTGCAGAATAGTAGTGCAATATGGGAATATTACTGCTATATGGGAATATTACTGCGATATGGGAATACTAGTACAATATTGCAGAATATTACTGCAATATGGAATATTACTGCAATTTGGGAATATTAGTAGAATATTGCAATTGAATATTACTGCAATATAGGAATATTAGTACAATATGGCAGAATATTACTGCAATATGGGAATATTAGTGAAATATACAATATGGGAATATTACTGCAATATGGAAATATTAGTAGAATATTGCAGAATATTACTGCAATATGGGAATATTAGTGCAATATGGGAATATTAGTACAATATGGGAATACTAGTACAATATGAGAATATTACTGCAATATGGGAATATTAGTGCAATATGGGAATATTAGGGCAATATTGGAATATTAGCGCAATATGGGAATATTAGTTAAAATATAGGAATATTAGTTCAGTATGGGGATATTAGTACAATATGGGAATATTAGTGCGATATGGCAATATTAGTACAATATGGGAATATTAGTGCAATATGGGAATATTAGTAGAATATTGCAGAATAGTACTGCAACATGGGAATATTAGTGCAATATGGGAATATTAGTGCAATATGGGAATATTACTGCGTTATGGGATTTAACTGCAATATGGAAATACTAGTACAATATTGCAGAATATTAGTGCAATATGGGAATATTACTGCGATATGGGAATACTAGTACAATATTGCAGAATATTACTGCAATATGGAATATTACTGCAATTTGGGAATATTAGTAGAATATTGCAGAATATTACTGCAATATGGGAATATTAGTACATTATGGGAATATTACTGCAATATGGGAATATTAGTACAATATGGGAATATTACTGCAATATGGAAATATTAGTAGAATATTGCAGAATATTACTGCAATATGGGAATATTAGTGCAATATGGGAATATTAGTACAATATGGGAATACTAGTACAATATGAGAATATTACTGCAATATGGGAATATTAGTGCAATATGGGAATATTAGGGCAATATTGGAATATTAGCGCAATATGGGAATATTAGTTAAAATATGGGAATATTAGTTCAGTATGGGAATATTAGTACAATATGGGAATATTAGTGCGATATGGGAATATTAGTACAATATGGGAATATTAGTGCAACATGGGAATATTAGTAGAATATTGCAGAATAGTACTGCAACATGGGAATATTAGTGCAATATGGGAATATTAGTGCAATATGGGAATCACAGAAGCTGTGAAGAGAAAATGTTTCCCTCCAGATTTAAGAACAGGTTGTTACAGACGATAGTGAAAATGAAAGAATATCTATATAATTATAGAATAATCTCAGTAGGATGTTTTTAACGTATCATACCGCTCTACTGTCAACCTCTGGTGCCCTGGTAGGGAGGTCTCAGGTGAAGGTCCTCAGGTGAAGGTCCTCAGGTGAAGGTCCTCAGGTGAGGGTGAATGAATCCTGACGATAAATAACAGATAGATCTGTGTTTGACTTCCTGTCCGTCAGTCCAAGGCCCTGAGGGAGCGCTGGCTGCTGGACGGAGCTCCTTCTGCCGGACCAGA